CAGCATCATCATCAGAATCACCATCAGCATCACCATCATGACCACCATCGTCATAATCCTCATCACGACCCTCCCAAGCCTGGAGACACGAGGTGTCACACGGGACGGCTTCCCGCGCCCCCTCGAACAGTCGCCACCCAGAATGCGCGGCTGGCACGGCGGCTGGACTTGCCGCAAGCACCTGGATATTCAATATGACACCTTCCTGGGCCACCAAGCCGAACACCGACTCGGATGATAAGTTGGTACGGGGAACGTTCTCAGGGCCAGGCCCCATTCCCGTCATGCCAAACAAAACTGCGGGCAGCGCCCGCCAACCATGATTACGATCATCATCACCATCACCATCACCACCACCACAACTACCACTACCACCACAATCATCATCATCATCATCCGCCGCATCACCATCACCATGATCATCATCCTCACAATCAGCATCATCATAATCATCAGAATCATCATCACCATCCTTAGATTCACCCTCACGCACATGATTATCATCACCATCATCATCACCAACACCATCATCACCCCATCATCCCCATAATCCCCATAATTTCCACCACGGCACCCCCAAACCTGGGGACACGAGGTGTCACACGTGACGGTTTCCTGCGCCCCTTCGAACAGTCGCCATCCAAAGTGCACGGCTGGCACGGCGGCGGGACTTGACGCAAGCACCTGGGTACTCACTCCCTCCGTGGGCCACAAGACCGAAAACCGACTCGGGATTAAACGTTGGTCCACGGGGCGTTCTGGGGACCAGGACCCGTTCCTGCCATGCCAACAGAAACTGCGGGCACCGCCCGCCAACCTGTCCTTGGTTCCGCCACGCACTAGCAAAGGTCCTCCAAAAACTTCCTACAACGCCCCAGCCGACATGGGATCGATCGGCCTTCCTCGAGTGCGGCGATGCGCACCAGCAGGCCGCGGCGACCGAACAGCCATCACCGAATCGCAAGTACAACCATCGCATCGCGCGCTTCGCGCGCGCTTAGGTTCTAGTTAGCAGGCCAGTGCACAAAACATGAAGTCGGTTTGCAATGTCCAACAAGCTGTGCCTCGATGGCGTCTTCCCGTCCCGTCCGGATGCCAATGCCAACATTGTTATCGACCCCATGAGGGCAGCACGGGCGACGGGCTGTGCCAACTGTGCACGTGCCTGCAGGAGGCAGCATGTCGCTTTTGCATGCGATAATCATGTGTTCTCCTCCTCATCCTCATCCTCCTTCTCCTCCTCCTCATATTCCTCCTCCACCTCCTCCTCCTCTTCCTCTTCATCATTTTCCTCCGTGTCATCCGTTTCCTCCATTTCCCCCTCCTGCACCTCCTCCGACTCCTATTTTTTAGTACAACTACTGCAGCCACTAGTACTACGACGACGACTACTATTACTACTACTACTACTACTACTACTACTACTACTACTACTACTACTACTACTACTACTACTACTACTACTACTACTACTACTACTACTACTACTACTACTACTACTACTACTACTACTACTACTACTACTACTACTACTACTACTACTACTACTACTACTACTACTACTACTACTACTACTACTACTACTACTACTACTACTACTACTACTACTACTACTACTACTACTACTACTACTACTACTACTACTACTACTACTACTACTACTACTACTACTACTACTA